TAAATGTTTGAAAGAAGATTTAAACTTGCATCCTCCAATAACATTCCTTAACACCTTAATCATGTGAGCCATCTACAACTTGTATTATTATCTCGCTAAATATATTAGTATTATGTATAAATGAACTAAATAAAATGAAATTTTTCTAAAAAATTTACGCTACCGAAATTTTTTTCAGGGGTATCCCGGGATACCTCGGGATCGATTATAGATCCGCCCATGCTTCCTAAGATAGTTTTTACACTACCTGAACCCTTTCGACGAACACTCTCTTCTCCATATTCTTGCTCAAACTGTTTTCTGCAAGTTCTAAAATGTTTTTCCTGCAATCATGGTGAAGTCTGGAATCTCAAATAAACAATCAAAGGCTTCTAGTTTAGCTCATCCTACTGGTTCTGAATCCGCCATCAAGGATCACACACCTTCAATTGCTTCAAGAATTATAGAGGCATATTTGAAGATCATCCGTCCTACAACAATGCAATCAAGCTAATGATCAAGTTCCTTCAAAAACACCCCTATTTGGTGCTTTTGATTCCTTCACCGAATTCGTTCCAATGGAGATTTAGTTCAAGTGTGCCTTCTCGTCATTCAGACCCAACCACAACTACCAGGAGATTCATCAGAATCTGATCGATGACTCATTGGTGGTCCTGAAAAGGAGAAATTCCTCTCTACAATCAACCTTCAAGTTCTTCCATCTACCAAAATTTTCACCCCAAGCCCAACTGATTTATTCACGACTCTGTACAAGATGGGTTACTAGAAAAAGCTCAAAGGCATTGGTGAGTTCAAGAAGAATCAACTTCCAACTATTTGGCAATTCATTTGCCATTTTGTGATCAGGTGTCTCTCAGGTCGCACATCATCTGGAGCATCTTCACGGGAAACACAATCAACTATGGTCAAATTCTTAGGGAATACTTTCTTCAATAAGTCTCAAAGGATGCCCCAAGAGAAGGAATTGTTGATCTTACCTTTGGTCGATTCTGGTCGCTTTGCATGTTCGATCTGCACAAGGAGGCGAAACTTAGTCTGGGCAACGACATGAAATTGCTCTCAGCCTATGATATCAAAAGGTACACTACTTCTAAGGATAAAACTCTTTTTGGTCCAATCCGTAGACTACCAATGAACATCTTAGAGTCTATTGGACTCTCAAACCTTGAGGTAGTTGAGCCTATAGTGGCTACGTGTGTTATTGACCTATACCACTCTTCCTCGCCAAGACCTAGTCAGCCTACCACAGACCCTACCACATCCCAGAACAAGCAGCACAAACCTAAACGGATCAAATCGCTTTCCGTATCCAAAAAGGCGCCAATTAACATTGTCACCAAAAGAGTGGGAACTCCTAAGAAACGTAAGTCCAAGACCGCAAAATTCTCTTCTGTGGCTCTTCATTCCTGCTCCAAGACTCTTGATCCCCATGTGAATCTTTTTGATGAGACTCACCAAGAGTCTTCAGTATCTGGTGACGATTTTAGAAGAAAGAAACTGAAGTTAAACCCTAGTCAGATCCATATGCGTACCATGACTCATACCCCGGACTCTCAAAAGTCTCCAATAGTCATTGGAGTCACTGCAAACTCACCTTCTCATACCCCAACTCGCCACTCAAATGCATAAAGTGTATATGTTTCATATCTTCATTAATACACACCCCCAGTTGGAGCCCAAGTGGATCCAATTGATTCGAGTGGACTTATGGTCTCCAGGGCATCATGAGTGCACTTAATTGAGCCTGAGGAGTTATGATCCTTTCTTCTTCGTGTCATACAAACATTAGATACACCTATTGCAGATCAAGGCACTTCTTCCTTAACCTTTTCCAAAACTGAGTTGAGGCCACACTTGACTTTCGGTCAAGGAGACTAAGGAAGCTCAGGAAAACCTATTCCATCAACATTACTCATAAGTGGTCTAGGTGTGGGGAGCACAAATGTGCAAGGAACCTTGAACACGAGGCACACCTCAGTGCGACAAGGATTTGACGGATATTCAACCTTCAACAGATTTAGGTAAAAGGAAGTTTTAAGAATTCACAAGAGCAGTGCAAACACTAAAAGCCAAACAAGTACAACAACAATAGAAGAGCAAGAACTTTAGACTGTAGCAAAGTATTGGGCATACATGATTAACAATGCCAAAACTGTGAATGACATCTTAACGATTCAGAATTGGATGTCTAAAGTGGAAGCAATTGTGCAACAAGCCCAAGTCATGCAAGCTGGTGTTGGTCCTTCAAAGCCCCCTCAAAATGAAGAAGCTCAAGACTCAAAGAATGATAGCACTACAATAGAAATCAGCTCAGTACCTATGTTCGGATTTGATGAAGAAGATATGGAAGATCTTTAACAGCCTCCCCTTCAGAAGAATTTATAATGGTTTTTGATGATGACGAGTCAAGTGGATCTTAACACTCCACCTCCAAGCCAAATAAAATGAAGAAGAAGAAGGTAATTCTTTCTTGAAAGGAGTTTTTAGATCTACAAGCTAAAGTGGGCCATATTCTTGTTGCACTATCCACCTCCCCCCCCCCCCCGGCAGAAAGAAGACGTTCCTCAACCGTAGTCACTTGTTGAGCGTGTTGAAATGATAGAAACTAGAGAACGTCAACAAATCCTCTTGAGAATCGAAATGGGAATCAGAGATCATGACAACCGCAGAACAAAGGGTCACGAGGAGTTCTTGTCCATATGTCAACAACTTGTCAAGGTAGTCACTAACCTGAAAAATGAACTCAGTTAAACCCTTGACAAAAAAGTGGCTCACTCCAAACAACTTGTATAGGAGACTCACATTGCTTATGAATCTATCCTTGCAGCTCTACAAACCACCATCAACGGTTTACGTCGATCACTCACTGTCAACTTGTGTGTTGATGAAATTCTACGCCTCACAAAGGAGATTTATCAACTACTCTTTAATAAGGAGACCCCTAACAACCACTAGCTTTGTGAACAAATGAAGTCCCAGTTCAATGAAACTTTTCAAAAGATAGATGGACTCAGGCAATAGTTTGAGGAGTAGATGGATCAGGCATTCTCAAAAGAGGGAAGTGAGATTATTCCAAGAATCACTCAAGAGCAAGAACCTTCAAGATCAAAGACTCCTTCAGTTCATCAACAACAAACTCCTCTAAGAACTCAACATTCTCCTACCGAAGAACGCAACAAACCACCAACTCCTTGGTACTCACCTCCAAAATTACCAAAAAAGTCTACTCATCAGTTTCATTGGTCTCCACATCAATCTCCAACAAAATCAACTTCACTTCAGTCCAAGAACAATGAAGAAGAAAAATTCACGTGCTCTAATCACTCAGATGACTACAAAGAGAAAAAGAGTCTAGAGAGTGACAAATTTTGTCGATGAAATATGGAAAGAGCAAGGGTTTGAAACCTCCTTTGATGAAACATTGATAAATTCGTGGGTAAATCCAACCCGCAGGCTCCTGGATGCAGACTATGTTCCTCATATTACTTATGCACAACCGCCATCTCATGGATACTGGGTCATTCCCATCTCTTCCAACTCGAAATACTTTCTAGTTTTTTAACCTCTCGATCTTAGTATCCATAATGCACGAAGATTGACGATGGAATTTGAACATTTATTTCGTTTTCATGCCGAGCATGGATCAGATTTTGAGAAGATTTGGTCCAATGATAGACCGAAAGGAGTAAAGAGTTTCAAGGTAAGACAGTTCATGAAAACTTAGTTTGTTCAGTATACCTTGACCCATAGAGGAGATGACAACATCAGAACTCAAGCTGATTTCATCTGCATGAACCTCAAAGAGGTATTCCTGATTGCCAGAGTATTCAAATTCAAATCCGAAAAGAAACCTAAAGTGAAGGTTGGATGTGAAAAAGCCTGTGAATTTATTAAGCCATTGGTTTGTCACTTCGGGAAGATCGATGCTGAAATTCGCCCAATCCTTGACAAGATGTTCAAGTTTCTAGACTTCGAGCCTGCTCCAAGCTTCACTGAAGGCTTTCTAGACATGTCTCTCGGTGCAACCAATTATCTGGAGTTAGGACTCATTTTCAAGAAAACTCAAGATGGTCTCAATCACTTCATCTCGGTGACCCCAATGCATCGGTTAGTGAAGAAGCAACTGGACACCACATTGACCTTGGTTCAAAGGTCGAAGCACACAACCGATGAAGTGAAATTTGAACCAATGTAACTTTTCAGACTCTATAAATAGATTCTTCCTCTTCATGTATGCTTACCACTTTTACGATCTTTCTGAACTTTCATTGAAATTCAAAGATCATTCTGTTAATCACTATCGTGTCTAATTTTTCGAGATCCTCTTCACCTTAAGCGTATCACACTTACTAACTTGTGTTAGAATGCAATCCTTGTTATGAATCAGCCTGGTGTATACTTGATATAACTTGTTGTCATTTATATTTCCTTTACGTTTTCGCATCTAACTTCTAACTTCTAACCTTCTAAATCTTCTATCTTTTATTGTTGTTGAGCTAGAAAGATCCTTGATATTAAGTTATTCCGCAACTTATTATCTTGTACTAACATTTGTTCAAGTGTTCATCCTAAGTTTTTCTCTCAATAGATAGTCTTGGAGTGGAAAACAAAAACTAATAAAACTGAAAACCTCACCAACAATAATAATCAAGAGTCATATATATACTCTAACATGCAATGAGAACACCTAATAAAATTCTTACATACCTTCAAGTAAAACCATCAACTCAACCCTTTAGGTTAAACACCTCAACTAAGGTTAGTACCGTACATAATGCATACCTCAAATAAACCTGGAAGATGTGCCTATGTTATTTATGGTCGGGCCAATGGAAAACCAACCTTGAGCAAGCAGTTTGGCAGACTACAATGGTAGAGAATTTTAGAGATTGATGAATGTTCTCAAGATTTGTTGCAGATATCTAGTGCCATAGAATTATTATATCAATCTTAAAACACTTATACGATCAGTAAGGCCCTCCTCATTCCATCTAGCTTGGATGGAACTTGCTAATCTAGAGGATATTCACGAGGTCCCACTAAAGCTACAAGGAGACCCATATTTCCATGAGGGTGCTACAATGGACCCAGGTGACCTCTTAGAGGAAGTGGGTCCTTTAGAGTATGACGAGGATGATGATATACAGGAAGCTCCAAAATCTAATGAAGAGGGCATTCTAAAGGATACCCAAGAGATGGATGATCATGGTCTGTTTGAGCACGAGGAGGGACTTACTGACTAGGAGCGTGCCTCTCCTACTCCACCTTCCTCTATACATAGGCCATATTAACATCGCTACAACAATGATGGCATGGTTACCCTTTTGATGAGGACCCTGATGATGAGTATTCCTGCAGTGTATCACGTAGATATTTCTACTCATGTTTCTCGACCCACTTGTGGTCAGGAAAGGAAACTACCTATGTACCATAAGTTAGCTTAGCTTGCTGACTTGCTCAGAAAGAGGACGTCTAATGAACATCCTCCATGGTTTGAGGTAGGCAAGTCTTCTTAGGCTCCTCCACAGGTAATACTCAAGGATGATCCAGAGAATTATCTGATTCCTCGTGTGATGACTCTAGGCGAGCGGTTATCTGACAAAGTCCAGCCATTGGAGGATCTCATTAGAGATTTAGGCATTAGATCAAAAGAGTCGGAAGGCTTGAAGAGGAGGAAAAAGGTGGCAAAGCCCCATCCAAACCCTCTATCATCGCATTGGTGCTAGTCGCACCATGGAGAATGCATTTGATGCTCACTTCAGAGCACTAGCATACCAGACACAAATTGTTATGAGTCAGCTGGAAGCACCCAAGCACCAAGTAGTCATTGCTGAGCAACGACAACACTAGCCTCAGGAGCAGTTCGATGAGCCGGTCGACTATTTGCTTTCGCGTATTGGGCAATAAACTTTTCATCTAGGGTGGCTTGTGTTGGTTTTTGAGCATTCTAACACTCCTAAGTGTACATGTAACGCTAAATACCTTGGATCTATTTTTTCTCTATTATACATGCAAATATGAACTTTCCAAGGTGTTCATCTTAACTAGCATAATAACATTGATTCAAATGAATATATCAGGTTAGAATTACATACTTATTTGATGTAGAATGGCTTCATGAAGCTTGAGTGCCTAGTGCCCCAAGTGTGACACCTCAAATGGTTCACACAACACCAAATACACTTGGAATAGATTGAGAGAACATACACACTTCATGAAATCGGCTAGCCCTTCATTCTCACACATAGTGGCCGATTTCTTGAGCCATGGGATTCTTTTATATGGTGGCTATTAGGGTTACACCATGTAACTGATAACTTTACCCATTCCTTATGCTCTATGGATTTTAACCTCCATGGAGTATCCATGGGTCACCCCATGGACTTAGTCCTACATAAGGAATCTTGGATCACAATCCCACATATATAAGAATGAATGATTTACACAATCAACCCATATATTTAATTAGTCTCCTTTTGATCACTTAATTAATTCCAAATTAATTCTTGATCGATACTAATTAAATAACCATATTAATATATTAGAACTTATAATATATTAACAAACCTTAAGTGTTATTTCTCTCATTATAGTCTATCAAAATGTATGATGCCATGCAACCCAAATGCACCATGCTGGGTCGGGTCAAGTCTCACCAATTATAGTTATGGACTAAGACATTAATCCAACAGTCTCCCACTTGGATAAGTCAAAAACTATTATTACGTATGACTTCAAGAACCGACTGGCAATCGTAGCTCTCAAAAGCTTCTGTCGAAATCTGACCTTGTAGATGAACTATGACCTTTGTCAATGACTTGTCCATTAGATAAGGGATCATATATTCCTCCATTCTAGATATCATATGGACTCAGACATGGATTATAATCATTCTCTCTGTCCATTTTTTGTTTCCCGATTTCCGATTTATGACGACTGACTAATTGAAGAAATCAAATCAGTCCTGGCCCGGCCGAGCACTTACATTTGTCATCACCAAATCATCGAGGGGCCCACAGATATCGCTTTTATCCCGAAGATAAAAGGAATGGATAAACTTTGACTCATATGGCTTGTTCTACTACTTGTTGAATCATACACAAAGACACATTTTGTAACATTGAGTTACCGAATGCGATTTCGTGCAATCAATGTACAACCAACTCATAGTAACAACTCATATCTCTAGGTTTGAAGAATATAAGATATTATCGCCTCATGATCACTCGTGATAAAATCCATGAAGTGGTTCCAATGAGCGCGGGTTGAATCCAATACTTAGAACTTATGAGCACTCATGAGTGTTGTAGCTCTTTGTCCAACATCATTGACCTCTACAAGCAAACCCATGACAGTCTTAATTCATATCTACTTCCAACATATGACCGACTGTGGATGGTTTGAACAACTTAGTTATCTAGAACAATGACCTAGTTTATTCTGGAAGTCAAAACATGCAAAATGAAGCACAATAATAATTGAATCCAATATGGTATCAAAACCTATGAACATAAATAAAACACCTTTTATTTATCACCATATGATTACACATTATTCATTGTATACTGTTTCAGCTATCAACTTTATTCTTGAATTTAAAACAATAGTTGTCCCATGTTCCAAGCATGTACACTATATTTTCTAAACACTAGTCATGCCATACACCAAGTATGCATACTATGTTTGTCTATGATCTTTACTTTGTGAATTAGATCAATTGAACATAACTCCAATGATCCTCTTTTCACAGTCCTAAATCCTGAATGCAAATGCAAGAATTCCAAATTCATGCCATTTACTGAAATTTGTTAGATTCTAAACTTATATGCATTGATCCTCTTGTAATGATTATGCACAAAGTCAGAAAGACTTGACAACAACCATTACAGGGCATTCCAAAGGAGATCAACTCCTTGGAAACATCCTTCTTGCATCAAGTTTCCTAATCTTACACAGATTGAATAATTTCTAACTTTGAAACATTTCTAGATTCCATTTTGACTATCACTTCTGAACAAGAGTTGCCTCCTTACAGATTATGTCAATATGGTCCTTTCAGAATTATCACTTTACTTCCAACTGTCCTTGAGCAACCAATCTTTGGTAAACCTTAGATTGTCTTCGACAATTGTTTGAACCTTTTAGTCATATCCAAATCTAGACGTTTTCCCTTCTTAATGCCCCAGGCATTTGGAAAATTTTAGAAAGGATGAATATAGCACATGTAATCGATCCTATATCTGAAGCATGTGAGACACGATTCATGATGTCTCACATAAAGACTAAACCAGTATTTTGCTATAAGATTTCCATTTTTATTTTCCGAGTTCTCATAATTCAGATTATGAAAAGGGATGCCGTAATCATAATCAAATTTTCGAACGCAAATAATGGACCCATATATAGAATTTTCTTATGTTGAGCCATTCCAACATAACATTCATATATATACTTGACTAAATACAATTAAAACCTCAATTTTTAGATTTGAGATGAAGTATAATTTCCTCTCCCTTAATTATAGCAAAACAACTCTTTCCCAATAAAAAACTTTTTGTTTTCTATAGTTAACATTGCAAACTTGCAATACTTATCATAATTATCATGCTCCCACTAACATGATGATTATTAGCATAACACTTATGCTCCCACTAGTTTTGACATGTACTCAGAAATCAACTGAACTTCTAGAAAAACAATACTTTATTGACTTTTCTTACCAAAGTTCAGATTTCTGATACTAGATTGCTTTGATAAAACTTTATCAATATCATACACCTTATCTTAAATAGCTCACAGGTATGTCTAAACAATTTTAAGAAGTATGAAAAGGGATTCAGTAATCATAGTCTTGATTGTTTAGACCTTTGCCACTTCTCACAAGTCCATGTTAGTGAGCCGGTAAACCACACACGCTCCACTAACGAATTTGAGAATGCAAATATCACAATTTCTATCTAGCTAAAATCTACTTAGTGAAAGTGTTTCCTCACCATCATTTTCATGAATCGGAGAGAAACCATATGACACTTAGATTTAATGGTGAATGTGTTCTTATCCATGTGAATTGTCAAAACTATAGTCACAAGACAAGGATAATGAAAAATCCAAACTCATATGGACTGAACTCAATCTAAATTTCTTGCCATCTGGCAGCTCAAGGGCTTGCCATTTCTTCCAAGTTGTTGTGCAACCAATTGAGAACTCTAAGAACTCATATGTAAAGCCAACTTTAATTGGAATTGGTACAGAATATGTCAACACGATAGGTTATGGACCTCAAGTCATGTGCTAGTGAAGAACTTCAGGTTTTATTCATGATTAGTTCATGAGACTTTCAAGACCTTTAAGAATCCCACTGTCCTCTTGACATATAAGACTCTCTTGTCAAATATTCAAGAGATAGTGTGGATTCTAATCAAGACAAACACTTCACATAATTGGCCTTAGTTGGTCTTTGTTTTATGCAAAACATCACAACTTACCAATTTCAAATGTACAAGAGTAGAAAACTTTTACTCTTACATTTGACAAGTGTTCTAAACCTTCTCTAAGACATGTCACTCAACTTACAATCTTGGAGTATGACTCTAAGACTTGTATTGGAACGAAGTATGACTCATCTTCTTGATTTAACCATTCCAACAATTCAAGATTCCTCTTCTTAGTCATAGGAATGCACTAAGATTTCCTTAGAGAACTAATTGTGATATGGTTTCTTAATCATTACGATGATCACAACAACTGATATAAAGTACTCTCCCATCTTTCCAGATTTGAGAAACTTTTATCCTTCTGCCTAATTTGATTCTTCTTATTCGCTCTGTCGTACATTGGAACCTTTTCCAATGTCTCAGAATTACACTTAAGCTTGTAAGGATAACCATGTTTACTGAGCTTTTGTAAATTATGACGAATAATCTTATCGATCTTTTGTGGTGGACTTGACCAGTGCACAAGAATGTGTACTCGATCCCTTAGTCCTTCACCTGACTCACATATACATGTGAACAGGGAACTTGTCTTAATTTTCCAAAGATGAAGAATTCCTATTCATCATGCTATACAATTTGCATGATTCCAAGTTCCGGTCCAATTTCCTTATATGGTAAAGTTAGACATTACCACAAACGAAAGAATCAAATTCATATTTCCACTCTTGCTATTAATGGAATCATATAAGCAACAATGTTTTTTCCACAAATGCCATTGTAAGGATATTTTAAAATAAATAAAATCATCATTTTTCCTTTTATTTTAAAAACTTTGCGGAAAAACTATTCTTACAATGCAAAAGAGCATGAAAACTTTGTTGTTATCTATTCCTAAGCAATGTATCATAACTCCTAAGAAGTAGCTCAAGAATCTGATCTTCAAACTATGCGATAGAAATCCATCTACGCGATCAGATTCAACATATTCTTTCTTTAAGTTCCTTCAATTTTCTTTGATTCTTAAAACATCAACATGTGACCCAGTCGTATCATGTATCAAGAATCTCAAAATAGAAACTTAGCAGAGTTAGATAGTGGACTTTACCTGAAGTAGAGTCAAACTTATTGACTTTAACACCCTTAGGTAAATTGGCAGCTTCGCAACCAATGCCCCTTCCTTTGGCAATTTAACATATGGACGCTTTGGTAACAATACATGGGACTATCTCTGACTTAGCCTTTCTCTTTAACATTTGGTCAACCAAGTTGACTATGGCCAATCCCTTTCCATT